AATAAGTAGTGTGTAGCTGTCTGTTACAATGTACAGTCATTCTAGAAAGAAGAAATGGCAATTTAGATTTATTTCATACTTTAAAATAAATTTTAAAAATATAATAATACCAAGAAACATTTTTCATTATGGTATTACTTCAAAATCCATCATCAGCATTAAAACCTTGGAAAGGTAGTTCACAACATTCTAACTGCAAAAACAACATTAGTTGATTATGGAGAGCAATATAATTACTTCTGGTTCTCTCCTCCCCAGCAAACGAATTGACACTGTATAATATGGAATTCTTGTCAGTCTCAACCTCTGACTCCTGGTTGAGTCAGTACACAAATGCTTCATCTGTGACATATAAACACAGCTTACTGGCATACTCCATATACTTTCATGTGCCTGAAATCTGCTGTAACTCATACATCAGTGACTAATCTGCAGGAGTACAAGGTACAATCCTGTACACCCAGTCTGATTTGAGTTGCTTTTATGCTGCTGGCATGTAACAAAGTCAAACCCACACTAGAACATATGTTCCTTTATTGCTTGTCATAGCGCTTCTTTTGTTGTTTTGGGGATCTTTTCTAGTTGTTGATGTGCAAACTTGTACATGTCAAGTAATGCAGACCTTAACCACTCCACATGTTGTTATGGGCATTGTGGGATATGTCATGTTGACAGAGAGATAGATTTTCCTCCTGAACATGAGGATGATTGGAAAACATGTACACTTCTGTTTATTTGCTGTGTATACAATCATGACGTACAATAAGTGTTCATTCCACTAAGCTCAGTTGTGATTAACAAACTTGGCAAGGAATATGCTTAGTAGTTTGTATTACCCATTCTTCAAAACAAACAGACTGGAGGTGATAAGGCAAAGTGAATCTCTTTGCCACACCTAACACTTTTTAAACTTGGAGAGAAATTGGTTGCTGAAATTACTCTTGTGAATCTCTTCTGGTGCTCTTATCTGTACTATCCAGTGCTCTACCAACACATCAGCTCTGAACTATGCCAAAGTATCAACCAATGGATAAGCCTTTGGCTCACTTTGTCCAGTAGTTGATGGTGGCGAGTATGTACTGATGACCTTGTTCAGTCTTGGTTAGTGAATCAGCAGTATCCAGAGCTACCATCCATAGAGGAGATCCAAAATTCTCTGATAAAGTTTACCTCCTCATGGCTATAACTGTTCAGGAGCCATAAGTGTATAAATAGCATACTACAAGTTTTACTTCATCCTGCAACTGCAGTAACACTGCTTTGATTACACTACCACTGTCTACAGTATCTAGTAGGAACTCATTGTCTTGTCTTGGATATGCCAGCACTGGAGCCTCCACTAAAGCAAGCTTTAGAGAGGAATACTTGTTCATTGAAAGTGCCTTTCAATTTTAGTGAGAACAGACAATGATGCTGTTATCTTGGAGAAGCTGGACACAAATAACCAGTAATAAGATGCAAAATCAAGCAAACTGTGGACTTCTCACTTGGTCACAGGTTAAGGCCAGTCTCTCACCACTGCTATCTTAGCAGGTGCTGTAAAGACTTCATCTCTACTTACAATATGAATGAGAAATTCTACATCTGAGCATATGAGCACATATTTTTCTGGTTCTAATTTGAAGAGTGTCTTCTTTATCTGCTGGAATTCCATTCTTAGGCTTTCAGCATCAGAATTAACTGTGTGACCAAACACCAACACTATTGACATATACCAAGCCTCTCTCTCATTGCAGACCCTTTAGTGTAAACTTCATCATTTTCTCTAAAGTGGGGAGCACATTACACAGGCTGATTGGCATGAGACATAAAACTCATACAAGTCATCTCTCATTCTAAAAGCAGTGTTAGGTTTGCTTTTGTCAATTTGCCAGTACATGGATGCTAGATTAACTCTTTCCATATGCTCATCCTTTTCTGTGCATGTCCTGAGGTTTTACTAAATTACATCCAAAATTTAATTACTTCATTATCTTGGTATACAAATAAACTTAGCATCAGAATGTAGCTAATAATCCAAATCTTAATATTATATTAAGATTATATTATATATTATATTAGTATTTTACATTCTTAATCTTATAAGGCGATATTAAAAAAAAATCCTCAATTTCCCATAGTATGAGAATTGTGACATTTGCTCTCTAGGCAGCTTCTCTAACTTATTTATAATCCCTACAAGAAAAATGAAATTTAATCTTAATTACTTGTTATAACATTGCCATCCCTCAGGGAAAATATACTTTTTATAGTCTTCAATCTTGTTTGGTTACAGCCATAAAATAAAAAATCAGACTCTTCTTCTCATACCCACATTTCTTTCACAAATAGTGAAAGACACAAATAGTGTCTCTGATTATTAATACTATATTACTTATAATCAATAGAAAGCCAACGTTTTGTCTATCAAGTGATGTATTATAGTACATTGTTTTATGTACAGAGAATTGTCTAATTTGCTTATAGTTTAAACATATCAACAAGCTTAGATGAATTTTTAACGGCTCTTGTTTCATAGTCAGAAAGCCAGAAAAATTGTGATAGTTATAGGCCATTGTCTGCTTTTTTATGCATTATTATTTTGAGTTCTTTGGTGCATTATTTAATTAAATAAAAAAAATTATTGAGTGTAGTATTACCATTAGTATAAAGATGTAGGGTTAAGTTTCATCGACAGTCGACAGCAAAAAAAAAGACCCAAGTAAATACAATATTTGTTTGTCATTTGTATTCTTTATTTATTATTATAAAAGTAACTAAAATGTAAAAATTAGAGATATTTTAGGTTAGATTAGGTAAAATAAAGAAAAATAGTAATAATAACATTTTCTCATGAGGTACACTTGTGAGCAACTCTTAAGTAGCCTGTGTGTTATTGTAATTTGATAGGGCAGTAAAGCAATAAAATTTATGTATAAACAGATGTATGATGTTAGGAGTTT